TAGATTGCGATTACATTTAATAATGGGAGCGATCGAAAACAATTAGAAACTAAACAAGAGTCGGATAAGCAAAATCTGTTAAACGACACTCAGTTGTAATTCGCTCCAGATATCTGTTTGCTTTCTGATTGGTTAACTTTTACAAACATTGAAGTGGAGGTCATTGCCATATAATCCTCCACATTCACGAGGTCAAACGCTGTCAATTGACCTATTTATACAAATGGTTGTTGCTATTTTGTTGTTCATGCAAGATTCAATATTATTTCTCTCTATCACAATTCCATTATGATACTGTCAACTTCGAGAATGATTTAGCAATCCTGATACCCTACTATTTGTAGTCTTACGCTAACTGTGACAAAAATGCCTTTCGAGCAAACCATGCACTGGTAACATTGAAGAGCATTTTCGGCCAGTTTGACGGAACAACTTTCCACATAATCTTCAACAGTTTTATTCGTCCACATTTAGAGTACGGAAACATAGTATCCCCTCACTCCAAAATGTTAAGAACACTGGAGCTATCCAACGGCGGGCCACGAAATCTGTCCGAGAACTCAAATTCAAATCTTATGAAAAGCACCGCCAATCCCTTAACCTTTACCCGTTAGAGTATAGGCATCTAGAAACAACACAAATAAGGCTATACAGAACTACGTTAGCACAAAGGAACGTATTGCATTTGGAAATCCAAATCAGGCACACATCAGGTACAAAAGAATCATTAGATCATGCAAACAACACAGCCGCCACAGCTTTAGTAGGAATATAAGCCTCAGTAATCAGTTAAACATTTTTTTAGGTTCATTATATATCTTTCAACCTGTGTATTGGATACAGATTCAGTATGACCTAGAACATACTGATTAATATTAGAATTAACAAATAGAATTGACTTGTAGAATTATGGTCTACTATGATATTAGTAGACCTGATCCTAAAATTGTGGATTTGTCATGATGTAACTGCCTAATCTGTAAGATCTTACATGTAAGTCATACCATTATCTACACCAACTCATCGCATCGTAACAATCACTAATACATGATGGAGAACAATCTTAGGCTAGAGACAGAACAATATATTTAATATGAATAAAAGATTATGTCACAACGCATAAGGTTGACCACGCCTGCAAGGTCAGGCCATGCCATCCGATCAATTCAATTCATTCTCCCCTCCTTCTCCATCGTTGTGCTTTTCTCCGAGTTAAATATTAAACATCTATTTTCCCAGTTATCTCGTGTTCAGCTTTGAGGATTGTGTGGTGAGGGCCCAATGTCACTACAGACTCACCTGGTCACTAGAATTTTATATGGTCAACATGTCAGTCATGCACTGAAATCACTGATATCTAGAATTTGAATCATAGATTTTCCAACACTAACCACCCCCAAGAAATAATGTAAGGTCCTTATAGATATCAATACCGAGTTTTGACTTGATGACTTCGAATAAATTGTTTATTGGGTAGATTGTTATAAGTAAATAATATATTTGTAATATGATGGTATATATGAGCATTGTGTAGAGCATTATATGTTCCGTCGTACCGTTAAAACTTGAATTGATTTTGATTTGGTTGTTTATTCTCTCAAGAAGTGGCTTACACTGAGTCGCAAAACGTCAGAACATCTAATTTTTTTACTCATTGGGATATTATAAATATATTATATACTTGTGAGATCCTTATGTCGCAATGTCATGACGTTCACAATTTATATTACTTCTCATATTTCAAACTTCGATTATCATCTATGAGCACTTGAGGACATACACCAACATATAATTTGAGGCATTCCGTCATGTAAATTTGATATGCATAAAAAATATGATGTATATTCCTCCTGCTTTTCACGTTAGAATGCACAAGGTGTTTGCGCTAGTTATCAAATAAATTTACATCGATATGTGTAATTAACACATGTGATTCATCTAGGCTTGATTCACCCGCTAAACAATCTATTGGGAAATATGCATCTGCCTCATGCTTATTAGAATAATTTTTAACTAGGTTTGAATTTTCTGTCTGTGCAAACTTCACATCTGAACAAACGGGTTCTTTGACTGATTCGGGAAAATTTGTTGTCTTGTGACTCATCATACCACCGACAGGGGATTCTACTCAACATATTGTAGCGGTAAATAAATCCTCTAAATAAATAGCTCTGTAAGTTTTCGACATTGGATGCTGACCATATGTTTTAGTGGACTCATCTAGCTGAAGGCGCTCGGTCATGCATCAGTACCGGATCACGTGTGGCAACGCCGTGCCTAACATCTACCGCAATCGCTAACCAGATTAGATCAGAGAATTCAGATATATTGGTTATCGCCAAATACACTCTTCCGATCTTCTGGACTCTGAATTTTGATTCCTCTTGGTGGTTACGAATTATATTAGAAGGTGTTACTGGTAAAGGCGTTGTCAAACACTGAATACCTGTGTCATCTTCAATATATTGTGAGAACATCTGATACAACATCGGAGTTGTGACTGGAATTCGACTTATTCGGAACATTAGGGGTGACCTCATGATGAGGATAAACAATAGTTGTTATAGAACCATCCGAATTGAAACCAAAGTCGAGCTCATTTAGTACGAATGCTTCGCATTGAAAAATTTTCCCACAAGAAACAGATGCATTCTAAGGACAAATAACATTTGGTATGACATCAGAATTTGACTAATCTGGAATATATTCTTCTAGTTTATAAAGGATTTTATTGAAGAATAATGGATCATTAGTAAAATCATCAGCTAACAAAACTGCGTCAGCTTTTTAATCATGATTCCATTCATTCAACATATTTTCCTCATACGTATAAGAAATTTCATTGAAAATATTTAAACCATTAGGACAAACCATATCTGATACAATAACATGAGAAATTCGATAAGAATCTGATTGAATAGAAACAATGATTCTGAGTTCCATCTAAATGTGGACTGTTATGTGACTCTATACTGCTTTTCAAAGTCGTGGATGAAGATAAATTATCATTGGAAGCACTCAAATTAATGGGAGCAGAGCTACAAATTTTACCATTACTCGAAGCGAAATGAACAATAGTTTTGCATACTGACTGAATTTGTCCAATCATACCATATAGAAAACATTTAGCATTACGAAATACACAAGAATAACATGAGTGAAATCTGCCACAGAAGAAATGTTTAACAAACGTATGCTGATCTTTGTGATCCGATTTGCGACTCCTTAATGAACGGTTATCTTGATTATTTAAATTACTCAACAGATCGTGATGTTGTAGTAATGTAGTGGAATTCTTGATGTTCAGACGAATTATTTTATGTTATGTTTTTTGTCCTTTACAGCATTTGAAATTTGTGTACTTTACATGGTCTGGTAGTAGTTCATTGACAGGAAGGTGAAATCGGCTTATCTGAGAATCCCAAAATTTTTTACAAGCTCTGGACTTTTTGCCGATGAATTTGAGGAAATGAACCGTTACATTCACAAACTCAATATCTTCATTGTTCATAGTCCAGATCTCAAACCTTTCAAAATAGTCCTCAAAGGCAGCCCAATTTGAATGTATGTCCAACTATTCCATCACAGACTTGATCGAGACATCAGTGTGATGATTAGAAGTATTTGAACTATTATATTGAGTAAGAATCCCCGAAATAACTCAATTATTGCCAAATATAACCAATTGATCACAATGAAACATATTGATTTTGGAATTTGAAATAGGGCAGTCATCAAGTACAAAGAAATCACTTGGTCATACAAACACCTTACAGCTTTCTAAGACTTGCTTCCTACTGCAGATGTTTTGTACACGATGTCACATCTCTGGCAGCAGCTTAACATCACCTGACTCATAAAGGACGACACATTTTATGAACTTCAGAGTACCAACAGCCAGTTAACACTTAGAAGTCATGCTTACTGCTCCGCTCATAGCAGTTGTTCAGGATACGTCGGTTAATCGGGGTGAGGTTTTACTAGATGCGAAAGCTAACTCGTCAGCTATCAGAGCAGTCCTGTCTAAAATTGCAGAAGATGATTATGAGCGGGTCATAGCTTCTGCTGGTCAGCGGCTGGATTAAAGGGAAACGGGATATTCTACAACATGCCGGGAAATGCCGGCTGTAGTGAAATTGTTGCGGCATTTTTGCCACTACGTCATAGGATGCACTTTTCGTACATTCATAGACCATCATGCATTCCAGTGGCTTCGTTCGTTTCTCGAGCCAGAAGGTCAAATGGAGCGACGGCAGGAGCGTTTGATGATTTATGCCTTACGTGTGAGTACCGACCTGAAAGCCGACGTACAAACACTGATTCTCTATATATCTTATTCCCCTGTTCTTAGAAACAAACTAGACCTATTTCCATTGTCATATAGAAGAACCAGATGGTATTTAATTACGATAAATCTGCATCTGATATGCCCCAATTTTTCTTGTCTTTCGTAACAGAGGAGTTACAAAGACACTTCAATAAAGTTCACAAGCCCAGGACAAATTACTTGTCAGCTGACTATCGAATTTCCCAACGAATCATCAACGAACTGAATTAGTTACCTCAACACGTGATTGAAGCTCCATCTGTGGACTCTTTCAAAAGAAAGTTTTATCAACTGAGAGATCATCGTTGTCAGGATTAACACGGGCCACCTAGCTTTACCAAACGCCGATAACGTGTGTTACACATAATTGCCTTGGTTTGACCGCTTCTGCAAAACCTTACGGACAGTCGAGTTGATGCACCAATCGTTTGGCGACAATTTGACCTTCAAGTGCTCAGTAACCTCCATCAGTGGACGATGCAACTAGTAGTAGTGCATGTGCTATCGCCATTTGTTATCGATTGCTTTCACTGTCGAATTCGAGTGCATCCTATTCGCTTAGAAGATCATTTGCTAACCTTCCATATCATTCCTTTTCTACCAGATTTACTCTCTACTCTGCTCACTTTTTCAACTCAACATACTTTCAGTATAGACTCGAAGCGCTGCACAAATGCTTACTGCCTGCAGAGAGGTTTATTTATCTCTAAAACACTCATTCATAAGCTGGAATTTAAGGTTTGCTTTTTAAAAACTTTGAAGCATCACTTACAGAAATGGTATTGTTAACGAGACTTCTCTACCTGATGTTGTGATGTACGTCTTATGTATTTCAAGTAATTAGGTTTAGTGATTCAGAATTTGACAGACGAGTTCCTACTATCTCACTCTTGACGGTTTCTTCGAAGGGTTCATACCTGTCTGCTGCAGATAACCTAAAGCGACTGTTTCTTTATGTTAATGAAAATGACCACTGGTTATTGGTTTCACAATTGTAGGTGACACTCATATTCGTTTAAATTTGTTTAGGAAGCTGCGCAAACAGGTATCGTGTCTTTTTTTTTCTCCAAGTGAAAAAGCACTACTTGTTGGAGACAAGTCCGGAGATGTTTTCAAACTCACTCTGTGTCCGGAGAAGCCCATTCACGATACAGATTTGACTCTTCTTTGCGGACATTTCTCAATACTTAGTCACATGGTGAGTGCTTCTTCTGTCATTCTAACTTATTAGTTGTTGTTGAATTTCAGGTTGGGAACTTCATGAATTATCCTGTTTTGCTTTTCAACTACACGTTGATATTAAAGCTTGTGATGCTTTCTAGATTCACAGATTAAAATAGTTGGAATTCTAAACTTAGTGACCGAAGTCTGATTACCACAGTCACTAAGCGACTAGTCAACTTATGTGTTACCGTTATTTCCTTTTCTTACTGCCCTCTAATTGTATCCATATTCCCAAAAAGTTCTGTCTTACAGATGTCTTAATCCGCGTTTAACTCAGCATAGAATGAACTCAGTATGCTACATTAATCTAAACAAAATAGCAGGGTAATATAGTTGGACCCATTGACTCATACGGAATTCTGTCTTTCTAAATAGGTAACAAAGCAAAATCACCCAGAGAGAGCGACTGCTCGTCGGTTTCAGTCCGATTATATAGTCTGCTGAATTCCTCGGATGTATGAAATAATAATCCGTATTCTGACAAGGGTGCCCAGTGTGTGGACACAAAATTCATTCACAGTAGCCTCTCTAAATGAATGAGTGCACACATTAAACTGATATCGGGATATCTTTCGAAAAGCCAGTATTTTTGAAAACATATGTTGTGAATAACAACGGTATGTTTGTTCGTTTTTCATTCTACCCAAGTCGCAATATTATTATTATGTTTCTGAGACGATATGACATTTTTCTCCGAAGTAGCTTTATCCTTTATTTCTTGCTTATCTTCCTCGTAAGACTTGTACTAAACATAGTGAATTATCAGTCAAATATGGCTTTATCTGCTAAAATGTGGCTCATACTTTATAAGGGCTAACAAATACACTTAATTAAGTAGGAGTATCAACTGGTTACGAAACTTCCGTGGAATGATTTTAGCAGTTATTTACGGTTTCTCATTCTTCACATGACATGGGTTTTTAATTGTTGACTTTCCGGACAAGTGATATTTTATGCTTCAAGTTCCTGATTATAATCTTAGTTCATTCATCGCATTTATAAGAATTTCCGTCTATATGCATTTTTCTAGTTAGATACTGATACTAACGTTTATATTGCACTTTTGTATGACAACTTATTATGTACATCTTACGGTTTATTAGGCTATTTCGGAGGATGAAATGTACTTGGCGTCTTGTGATCGTGATGAAAAGATACGGATTAGTCGATTTTCTGAACCCTATGTTATCCAATCATTTTGTCTTGGTCATAAATCGTATGTTGAGTGTGTTGGACTAACTTTTAAAAACAAACAACAGGTTCGTTTCTCAGCTTGGATTTATTCCCGACACTCAATATTTAATCTCAACAGGAGGAGTAAGTTGGAAGGCTCGCTACTTTTAATTGATCTAATTCTTCATTTTCACTACTATAGTTTCTTCAAAGGATTGGGACTGGTAGTTGTCGCTCATCTTTTGTCACAGAATCTTTTATCATGTGGTTATTTTTGTCAGTTTACCAACCAAGATAGTTCTTAGAGTTTCTGAAATGCATAGGCTTTTAGAAATAAGCTGACCATTGAGGTCCGAATAATGTTTCAACATATGTAACTACACTGAAAGTAAATAGGGTTTTTATCATCTCAAAATATGTATGCTTGAGATTGGAATTCCGAAGCATTTTTACTGATTATGTCAGTGTAATTCTCATCACATTGTGTTATTCTATCAACCCACTGACAAGGCGCCCAAATTTTATGTTTGTTGGAGTTTAGGACTGGCAGACAATTTTCACTTTTGATGCTGCACAATGTTAGTGTATTAGGGTATGCTTTTCACTACTTATCTTAATCAACATGTTTGATACTTTCATGTGATCACTTTACCAAGTTATTCCTAGTGTGAGGTTAAAAGCGTTAGTCACAGTCCAAAAACCAGACAGATCCAACTAAAACCTGAATATTTTTCCGAATATATCAAAGTAGTCTTAATTGGAGGCTTCAGTGTACGAGTATGATGGTTAGATCAAAAAGTAATTTTAAAATCCTAGTTTGAGGAGCCGCAATATTCCTAATCTTGGTCGTATTCATAATCCACTTTATCCTCAAGCTCCTCTGGTTTTTCACACTGATAATAAAAAGTCATTTTGTTAGAAATCGGTACAAAAAATAATCTGGAAAACCTGTAAAACCTAATGTACATGATTCCATCTACGAACAAAGGGCATATGCCGTAGTAATGACCACTTATCAAATACATCAATCTCCAATAGTTGTCGTTCTTTGAATTATGTAGCTATCTTAACTTAGTTTACGTTCATCGAATTTCAGCCTGTTTATCGTGTTTTTTAATTCTCTCAGTTTCATGATATTTGAAGTTATGCTTTTCATAAGCTGTATTGGTTGACACATATTACGAATGCATCTAGTCTGATACCAGATGGAAAGTAGTCCACCGGATACTAAGTTGTTCTGACTGACCGGAGCTGGAACTCAGTTGTTCAACGCTACACAGAAACTTCAAAAAAATTGCTCCCGGTTCTCTATACTCACCAGGTTTCTACTGTAATTCATCATTTCCATAACACTTAATTTAAACCAACCCTTTTAGATGATACGGAGTTAGTAGAGTGGCCCTCTAAAAAACCACCCTTTTATGGTTTGAGGACTCGGACAGTATCGCAACCCGCACGCAAATAGAGTTAAAACTGCTTTGTGACTTATATATATTTTGGTGCCCTTTCGTACCAATGTTAATAGGTTCGAACAATTAAAAACAAATGTGTTTCTTGTCACACTTATAAATTTTGGATTTAGTGTCTTGGACCATTTAGAGCTTTCTGCCGGTGAAACGTGGTTAGAAAAGGTTGAATTTGGTGTAAAGTAAGTGGTTCGGAAGGGCTTTGTTTAGTGTTTCTTTGGTAATCCTAAAAAAGACTTCGATATATCAATAAAACCTTGACACTTCTGATATTTTCAATTTACATCACTAGCTCAAGTTGAATGTACATCAGCTACATCATGATAAATAATAAATGCATAAACCTAGCTGTGACCGATATTAAACTATCTAAGCTAGTTGTCTTTATCATTTTGTAATATGAAAATTTAGTTGCAGTGGGGCACCAACAAGAAATAATCCGTACCGATGCAGAGATAATTTGAACTCCTCAGCAGTGCGCATCCACGATCCCGCTCGCGGGATTCGAACCCAGTGCTTCCAGGTTTTCAATTGTGGTGGTCTAACATCAATCGGTTCATGATCTCAATCAAAAACTTAACAATCTCCACAACCCCTATACTAATAATCTGAACTGACACGTAATTGCGTAAAAACTCATGGTTTTTCTGTCTATATATTTGTTGGCTTACATTGTCTATTTTTCTCCTTAATTTAGGATGGATATATAAGTATTTGGAATTGTGAGTCGGGTCACTGTCTGTCATCGTATTATGTTTCAAAAAGTGAACTCCAATCTCTCTCAGTTTCTACGGATTCGCAGTTCAATTTTAAGTCGGAAGCTGTTGTTTCTAGGTTTTATTTTATCAAAGATGTTGTCGTTTGTTGTTTTTTATCGTAAGTTGAACTTTCAAGCTCTATTAGCTTTTTTCTTATCTGCTAGGCTGTCTATAAAGAAGGTAGATACCAACACAAAACCTTATACAATACTGCACTTTCAAGTTGTCCGTAAACTGTATAACGACCAGAAATCTCATGTATTATAATAAGTTTAAATAGCTTTCACAATGTTACCGTCAATGATGAAAGGAATTTTAGTTTTTTGAAACAAATTCCTAGGCAAGACGAATTATGTTGGGATCCAAACTTACAAAGTAGACTTGCGGATGCTGAATTAGTATTGAACTCAAGGTAAAAGTGCACTTCTTGACTAAATATTATCCAGTAATCCTTGTTGCGTCACCATCAACTCTAAAGTGCGATACTGGCCGATTAGGGTTAGGTTGGGTAAAGTCGAAAAATGTCCAGATCAAAGTTGCTACTGCGTTTCACAAGTTTTGACTTGATCTTACCTTTAGAAGATCCAGATTTTCTGTATAAGGTATTAAATACGACAGATGAAGCGTGATAATAAAAAAACCCACTCATTTTATCATTAAACCCTGGACATTTTGTAGTTTGTGGTTCACATCCCATTCTAAACTGCTACCGTCGCTATTTGTTTTCATAGTTTTTCTTTTCTCTGCACTGTTACGAAGTATACAAACTCTATGTTATACACGTTTGTATGAAATTGTACATCAACATACGTAACCAGCTCCTTGCCTCACCAAATTTAATAAACAATCATCACTTTGAATAAATTGGAATCTTTTATTGAGTATTTTCAGTTTTCCGTTTAAAGGGATTAAAGGCGGTATGTTATTAAGATCCTAGAGCGAAGTCATGCTATCGACTGTACTGAAATTATTAACAGTGAGGTGTTTACCATGACTCATTTATTAGATTAATCATTCGTTAAAAACAGGTTTGAAACAGATGGTATAACTTTTCTTATTGTAATCACACCATATTATGAATGAAAACCAACAATTTAACTCTATTATGTTGGTTGCCTTCAAGCACATGACACTAATTTCTAAGACTACTGATATATAGTTTTAAATGTTGGGACTCAGACATTATTGGTTCAGTTTGATCGAACTGTTATAATCAGGTGCCTTTCGCCAAAGTCATCACTATCCTTATTTTTATCCATCTTTTCATCAATGTTATCCTAGAAATAATACTTTCTCCCACTAACTTTTCATAGAAGCAATCTCATACCGGGAGGTTTGCTTATCGAGTTGGAATATGTAAATGAAATAGCCCTATTTGGTGATGCTGACAAAATGCATTCTTTTGATCGAAATGAACAGCATTACAAACATTTGTTATGTGCAGATCTCCTTCTGAAGGTGAAATGTTCCTCCACAACTGGTTTGCTTTAACGCCTGAACCAATGATAAAAATTAAAGTAGTTGAGTGTACTGATCATTTAACTTATTTTAAAAGTCTCATAAATCTTGTAGGGTCAATGTGTAGTAAAATGTCGTCAAATATTCATGAAGTGCAGTTAGCCTTTGCCAACTTGTGTCACTTATGGCATAGGTGGCATGCCCTCCTGACAGTCAAAGGGGGTATATATTGTGCGCAACAGTCTGCTCTCCATTACGTTATGGCTGTGCAACACAGTCTTCCAAGGTAAAAGGTCTTTGGTTTGAGCCATATTGGTAGATTCAGACTATCTGATTGTGGTCCAAGTGATATTTGTAATCAATTATTGGGAACTGATATATGTCTCAAAATAGTTCACGACGTATTTACTTTCTATCCTTTTTACACTTTTGAATTCCAGTATTCCTTTATATATACACTTTTTCAATCTCTTTTCAAATCATATTCTCGAAATTTAGCCTCTTTTTATCATTGGAATTATATTATTTAGATTTCTTTTATTATTTTCAATCCGTTGTGCTAGCGTAGTATAATAACTTGCCCTACGTACATTTTTCCTAGGCTTTTTGTTTGTGGTGTCTGTCTATCTGTAAGTTGGTGGGGACTTTGATGCTATTACAAATATACTGCTAGTAACATAATCTATTTTCACTTCACTTCCCGTAAAAAAATTATTTACAGCAACCCAGTACTGATGGCGTTTCATATTCATATAAATGAAGATGAAGTTGTCTCTTGGGGATCGAAAGCTTTTACTTCCACAGAGGATAAAATGCCATTTACGGATATAGCTCTATGTTCAAATGATAATCGTATTATTGGACTGTGTTCTACTGTGACTAGTGTTTGTCTCTACTCTTGGAAATTGATTATTCAATACAATACTTGCCAACCATCTTGCTCTGTCAAATGGGATGTTGTAAGTGTTAAATAATATTTTCCTATTTAATTAAAAGAATGCAATAAATACTAGGAAAAAAACTTTGGTTAGAGCAAGATGAAGTATGTATCATAGAAGAGGAAAAGAAGTGAAAATCGTATTAAAACAACGGTTTAGTGTAAAAAGCAACAGGAAAGAATTTGTTTTCCACACAGTCACTAATGAGCACAATTTTAAACCGTATCAAAATGTCGTGTAATTATGAATATTAAGTCCATAATCACATATTTCATTTCACTGTATGAAATAACTCTTAGTGCGATAGGATTTGTACAATAGATTCATTATGCTGCAGGGTTTGGGGTTTGTTATGAAGATGTTTTGGTTGTTGAAGTGGTATATATAATGCTGATCAATAAGTGATTGACTGATGACAACATTATAGTTGTTTTTCCCCTCAATAAAGCCAAATAGCAATCATAGCAAAATAAATTAAATTCAATTATTTTATTGACAGTCTTCCATTGCATAGTTTTAGTCTAAAAATTCAGTTAAAAATGATTAGTCCAGACTGAACTTTAATTATTGCAGAACGTGGATCTATATGTCTACTCATTTTCACTAAAGTTTTTTTATTTTTATTATTTATTTATTTAAACACATAAACATTGGTACAAGAAGGCACCAAGTAGATATGCGCCACATAAATCATTAGATTTGTGTGAGGGCTGTGATACTGCCCGGGTGCCCAGACCGAAGCAGGTGGTTTTCTTACGGGGCCACACCCCGAGCCTTTGGCCTAAAGGCCTGACCCACAAGGCAGTGGAGCACCGTGAGGAGATGCAGTCCCATGGTAGCCGGTGACCAACGATTGGTTCATACGTCATTTGTCCCCGCAGGATACTTGAGCCCATGTGCGCCATTGGTTTGGAATCCGGTTAAAGCGCCGGACATTCGCTTTAGGTCCTCTCAATTTCGTAAACAACACCCTGGCCACTAGAATTCCGTGAGTAGGACTTCCCTGGTAGAGGCTGTATACGCGTGGCCGTGTGTGAGCATTTTGAGCGGGAAGGCGGGCCCACCCCACTCTCGGCCATACCAGGGCATTTGGGGGCAAAGTTGTTTTGCTTCATAGTTAAGGTATTATTTTTACTGCCTATTATATGTAATTTCAAGAGAGATCTAAATGATAAAATTTTATTCTTTTCATTAAATAGCCTCAAATTGTTGATTGTATATCAAACAGCTTTCTTCTACAAGTTCCAGGTAGGTGGTTTTAGGTTTTATATGTACTGTATAAACCATCTGTTTTCCTTACATAATTAGTGCATCTTAAATACGCTTGACCGATAAACTACCATAATTTTGCTCGTGAAACAAATTGTAATGGGTTAGATAATCATAAACTCCGCCTGTAGACCTTCTTGGTTTAAAGCCGGTCCCAAGATTGGATAAAGAAAAAGAGTTGGGTATGAGGTTAACAACCCTATCCCATAGAAAACAGCCTTGCCTGGATAAACAGAATAAACAATTTGAACCATTTACAATCTGCTCTGGGAGTTGAAGGAACTTCATTCATAAGAATCCTGATCCCTTATGATGAAAGCCGAGATTCCTCAGAAATCACGAAACCGATTCCCTTTCTGACAACCAGAACAACAATTAACCTTGGTATGTGGAATATCCGGATATTGTGGAAGACTGTGAGGACCAGCCAAATGGCTACAAGAATGAGGAGATACAACTTAACAATATTCGAAATCAGAGAATCCCATTGAACCCAAGCTAGACAGAAAAGGCTAAATCCTGGAGAGATGCTGTTGTACTCTGGTCACGAAGAAGAAAATGCTCCTCACACATAGGAAGTTGTTCGATGTTGTCCAAATAAGCACGAAAAGCACTTATGGAATGAGATGTCACGGAGCCAGGATCATCAAAGCATCCTTAAAAACAAAGAAAGAGGGAATCACAGCGAATGATATCCAGTGTTATGCACCCACCAATGATAGTAATGAGGACGATAAAGATCAGTTTTATGAGACGCTGCAGTCGATCGTAAGGAAGTGCCCATAAAAAGACGTGGCTAGTACGAAGAACCATTATGATTTGCCCTTCGTGTACCTGCAGACTTGACTAAAACTTCTCGTGGTCTTGCTGGTGTGAGTATAGCACCAAGTTCACAGTAATCCTATCAGGTAATTTTAATACTGGGGCGTAAAGAAATTGAGTTCATTATTCACTTCACTTATCCTAAACGTCTCATAGGTTGTGGTATGTTGTTCGTGTTTGGTAAAATCTCGACAGAGGTTCAGAAAGCTTAATAAATTTTGCCAGTTAATTAGAATTCAAAATGTACAAAGTATTGTATAAAAAATAGTGATAATGAAGTACATTCCGTCTAACTGATGATTATTAAGATATGAAAATAAATGTGACAATCAATGATTATTCACTTCTGCCTTCGTCTTTGTCGCTGCAATATGAGAAATCACTTGTTTTCTTTTTGTTTAATGATCTTCAGTTCCAAGTCCCCGAACAGAACTTTTGGAATTATTCTTCAAGTGCACAGATAATAGCTCAATGTTACAAGCGTATGAATCAAATAAACAATTGCATCAACACAATGTAACTCAACGTCATATACGTAGTCAAAAAACGCGCAAGTTGAATAAAACTCGACAGAATTCTGTTGATAAAGAATTAAATGTATAAAATACGACTCACTATCTAAATGTTATTCTTAATATTGTTGTATTGGCTTAAAAAGTGATGTTGTAGACCTTCAGTGGTAATTATTTTGCAAGCGACTTATTATTTGCATAGAAACGTTGATATTATGGAAAGTTCATTGTAGTCGACATACACCACTATATTTTGAACTCATTATTTGTTTCCATGAAGTCTATCGGGGAATGTATGATTTTACGATCGTTCCTTGGTTGATAGAAGCTAATCACCAGTACTATCAGCTCTTATCAATATAAACGTATTCTTTTAGTAGTCTTCTGTCGTCGTTATTTCAAAGTAAAGCAAAGCAAATTGAAATATTAGCGTTCTCATTTACAAATTTCCAAAACTTTTAAGTTCATCAGTTATTAGTCAACTTCTGTTTTTACGCAAATTATTCTTTACTGTCTGAATCCTTTATTCTTTAAATCCAAGGAAAGTTTGGAATAAATTCTATCGAGTTAATATCAAATTCACAAATTTCAATGTTCCACAATGTTGGGGCTCCTGGTCAGTACGGTTAACTAAAAATATCCGCTTTTTAAGTTTATTTATTTTATTTGATAACATAAATATTGGTACAAAGGGGCATCGAATGCTCATGCGCCACACAAGTCACTTGGTTTGTGTGCGGGCTATGATACTACCCCGGTACTCAAACCTAAACAGGTGGTTTTCCTAGGGGGCCACATCCGGAGCCTTCGACCTAAAGGTCTGATCCACAAGGTAGTAGAGCAACTTTAGATGTAGTCCCATGGTAGCCGGTCACCAACGATTGGTTCATACGTCATTTGTTCCCTCAAGATTCTGGAGCCCATGTACACGACTGGTTTGGAATGAAGGTTTTCCAACCAACCCAGTTAGAGCGCTGGACAAATGTTTTTTATCCTCTCAATTTCGTAAGAAACACCCCCCGCCACTGGAAAGCAGTGAGTAGGACTTGTGTAGCAGTGGCTGTATAAGCGTGGCCATGTTAGAGCATTTGGAGCTCACTTTCCAGGACTAATAATTAATTGTTTTCGAGCTTACTTTCACACTGAGAAACGTCATATGACTTTGTGTCTAGTGACCTCAACCCGAATTGGGATACATTAGTGGTTTAACTTGTAACGGTTATTTTGAAAAGGATCGGTTAAAGATTACTAACTTTTATGAGAGGTACTAGAGAAACGTGACCTCGATATAACTTGGTGGTTTTTTTGGTGTATTAGCTAGAGGTATACCCTTCCGTTAGACTCTGAGGTCTCCAAGGGTAATTTGCACTAACCATATCCTTTGATTTCATGCCGTTTGATTATACATCCCTTATCTCTTAAATTGCTCTCAGCTTAATGTTTGCTTAAAAAGTTATGCAAATTAACAGAAGACTAATAAAGTTTTACTGATTATGTCAGCTTATGGTGAGGTACCATCGTAGTCACCTCTGTTCTTATTTTTTTTTAGCTTTTCCATAGATGGGTTATTGGTAACTGTCTTCTAACCCCTTCTAGATCTTCCATTAGGGAGTTATGTCAGCGTAGAGTACAGAGCATGGTCATTTATACCAAAATGGATTTTTCTCTTATAGACAAATGACTTTCGGTTCGAATGGTTTCATATCTGTTTTAAGTGTGATAACTGAGATCGTTATTCACATCATAGTTCGTTGTTAGCTAATATTAACTTGTGTCACCTGTTTCCAGTATGCTACTTCTCATCCCTTCTATAAAACATCATGCTAGACTCTGATAGTTCCTACTTTAAATAGATATCGATAGGAAGCGTTTGTTCGGGACTGTTACTGCTTTTGGAGCACCTATTTCGACCTGGATAATATTCTACTATATGCTTAACTTATTTCGCATTTTGGCGGTTTATGAAACGTTGTGGTTAAGTTAAACTAGCCAGTTAGTTACAGCAACCGTATCTGGTAACTTCCGATAGCTAATCCAAATCTTACAAACCGATTAAAACTCTCTTCCAATGAAACAATTCTAGGCTGATAATACATTAATTAAAGCACTTAAGCGTTGTGCGGAATACTTTGAATGTTTGTACAATCTATCCGTTAACATACCAAATCCAGAAAAACTATTCTACTCCCGTTACTCTGTTTGAGACGGATTATATTTTCGAGTGTCGTAACACTTCTCTTGATGCTGGATTAATAACATAATTCTAATTTTTATCAAAAGGTTAAATAAAGATAAAGAATTGTGAGTAAAAGTTACTGAAAGTGATAAGTTTTTGAATTAAAATGAACTATAACTAAAAAGGACATGAAAACAAGAACTAAAATCATGATAGAAGAAAAGGCCAAATGAGCTTGTTTTGTATACATAATTTTGGCTTTTCTAAATGTATGTCAAAGGCTTTAGCTATTCCAGAGACAAAAGCTTACTATATTTGGAAGACTTTTGTTTACCTGGTAATTTGATGAACACACCGTTTATTTTGGTCGAATGACTCTTGTCAGTCAATTTCACTGGATATCAGTCAGTTACAACGTAGGACCAGGCACATATATGCATCGGTCCAAGTTGCCACACCTCATTAACACAACAAGGTGAACACTAAATTCATAGGAGTAGTTACTTCAATGGTATTAATATATAAATGAAAGATAGCATACCTGTAGCTATATTTTGCATCCTCTTTGTACTCGGTGAATTAAAAGCTAACCCCAATTGATATGAATAAATCAGTCTTGAGACGATTTAATGTTTTGACTAGTTCATAGATTTACGAAATCGCATCACTACCAACTGTTTGGTATGTGAAATGACCTTAGCTAAAATTAAATTTATCAGTATTAACTGTAAACCTGCAACAACACTTTTTTAAAAGAATGAAAATATTCGAGCGGAGAGAATTTTCTTTTCGACGATATCATTATCTGAAGCTATACAGTCGTCTTCATAAGTAATTTTTGCATGTAAAAGTCTATAATAAAATAGAGGAGTTCCACGTAATTATCAAGAGTTGTCAAACCTTTCCAGGTGGAAGTCAATAAAGATGAAGTGATGTTGACAATCACAATTGATTGATCACTGGGTGGTGATCAATGTCATGCTTGTCTAGTCCTTATTAGTGCAGATCGAATGCTATCGATCATGTTGCAATGTGGCCACCAGTCTAGGTGACTCGACACTGCGGGCACTATGTATTGAGATTTAGATGGTGGTTGGAGGTAGTCAACAGGAAACCCTGGACTCGGGTTTCGTGCTACTTGGCACTCGTCAGCAAGGTGCACCTGTAATCATGGGGGAACTGGTGCTCCCTGGCGGATTCGATCTCGTGTCACCCAGCTTCACAGTCAGAGACGTTACCACTGAGTTGACAATATTGTCATGCATTGAATTTGATCATTCAAAAATGGAAGGATAAAACGGGGTTGGATCATTCAGCAAAGTAATCGAAAATCACCAAGAGCTTACGTAGTCGTTTTCGAAGTAATAAGATGTAATAATCTGTAGAATGAAAGTTAAGGATAACCATTTACTTTATAAAAGGAAGATGGTGAAGAATAAGATAATAACAATAATCAGCACTTAAGATTTGTAAAATTCAAAGGCTTTTTAAGACTGGGAGAATAAGGTGTTAGGAATGACTTGTGTATACAGAGTTCGAGTTTGAGATGATGAGTTGCTACAGCTTGCTATGTGCACTAATTCCTCATCCAAACATTTTTGAGTCGGTTCTTTCTACTTCTCTTCATTATGAACTACGATTCACGTAGTGAGGTTTGATCCGAGTGTACTATGTGTTCAGGGACTGAGCTGTTAATTGATCCTTATTCCCCTTTAGATAGCCATATGAAGTCATGCTCAGATATTAGCTTACCAAGTCCACGCTTTGGATGTTCAACATCCTGTCCGAGTTGAGGACGTTGGACCACTCTGTGTTCGATCACCGCTGTCTCCGAAGGATTACTGACATCCAGTGGCAACACCATGTTAGTAATGCAGAAGTTAGGCATCGCGTGTTCGGGTGCAGAGACGATAATTAAATTGGTGTCACCATCTTGAAACACCGACTTCGGTGGCTTGGACATGTTCTCCGAATGTCGTCCCAGAGAATTCCACGTCGTGCATGATTTGCCGACTCTGGGACAGGTTGGAGAAAGCGGAGAGGTGGTCAGTATATGACATTGTGTCGTGGTCTGAAAGAAAGCTGCAAAGGACTGGCTTCTGTCGGTCCTTCACGACTCCCTGGTTGGGGTCCGAGAGATGGTGCAACACAGTGGCTAGAGACGTTATTAGATATGGCTCAGAATAGAAGCCAGTGGCGATCCTGCTGTAACCTTCTTTTACTCTCTTCATTAAAAAAAGGTTGTATCTTCCTTAACTGAAAGATTTCTTCTGGTTGTATCTTCTCGTTTCCCCCATTATTATTATTATTATTATTATTATTATTATTATTATTATTATTATTATTACACTACCTTACACTAATCTATTCGTTATTCTTTTTTTCTCTCCGAATTCTCATAGTTTTGTGTGGCGCATATATATTTGTTGCCCACTTGTACCAATATTTATGTTTTCAAATAAAATAAAATAAAAACGTTCAATATAGCCCGCTTGACATGAATAATAATAAATGTACACTGAGGTGGTCCGAAGCACCAATTTATCCTTGACATTTCTGTGATTGGGTTTTTTTTGCTGAAGAAAATAGTTCAGAGCTCTGCTGAATAAAACGTTTTTCTCAAGGACATTTATAATTTGTTTAATATCTTGGCTGTTGTATCTTCCTTGACTTCAGTGTTCAAGAATAAAACTGATTTTTATTAAAAAAGATCAACTGTACTTAAGTTAACTTTCTCCAGGTGTACTACTGTTTTTGAAAAACTACTCAAGATTATGATGTTAATAAATACTCAAATGTTTAATACAAAAGATTGAGCATCAAAAAAGAAACATCAGTATTCTCGAAATAATGAAGTTGAATGTTTAAAAACGGTATTCCTTCTCAAAGCACTTAATGTTTCGTATCGTAAATAA